CATTCCTCCCGCCTGCTGCGCCTCTGGTCACTGCTTTTTATGTTTCTTGACAGAAGGAGCAGGTCATAGTTTGACTTTGTTAGGCATTTCTGTTGCTGAAATGCAGAAGTGGTCTCCAAAAATGTTTCAGAAGAAGGTTTCTTTGGTTCTTCATATTACCTGCACTGAAGTAAAATGATTATTGCTTCCATTGTAGGGGAAGAAAGAGTAAAGCTGCCAGTGGGAGTAGGCTGGAGCAGCAGAGATGTGCACAAAGTAGTTCTGCAAGCGCAGAGCTGTTGGAGGGTGGTCTAAACCAATGTACATCTGGCTTCTAGTGCTCCTGTCATTCCTCCTTTTTCTCAGCCATGCTTTCCCACCCCTTCCTTTCGGCTGAACTTGGGGCTTATCTGATGCACAACAAGCTGATTTGGGAATCCAGCTAAAAATTAATCCTACCCAAAAAATGGTAGTTTGCATCCTGGTTCTGTTTGCATGTCCATGATCCAGTGAAAGAGGTCTGCTTGTCTGGGTGGGTTGGTTGTTTCCTGTTTGTTTTGTTGGGTTATTTTTGTTTGTGAGGTTTTGTTTTGGGTTTTAATTGTTTTTATTTCTGTTTTTACTTCCTGGCCCTACCAGTGGCAATATACTTTAGTGGAACAGCTAATATGGAAAGCATCTTGTCACCTGGACAAGAAAAGGGAGAGTATTCCCCAAGATGTTGTACAGGTTCTCAGCATGTTTTCTGGGCCGGTATTGAAGGAATTTGAAACATTTGAGTTTAACTGCATGGCTCCTGTGAAGTGTGATTACTGTTATCTGAGGGCTCTTTGTAAATTCATTAATCTAGATTAAGACCCATGTGTTGGGTATGTCGGGTTTTTTCTGAGGAGTTCACAGACTGGTAGGTGTGTGCATACACCGTGGAAGGTCAGACGTACCCTCCACAATTAAGGTCCCTGATTTTTTCAGGCTGTTTTAATGGGGTGCGTGTGTTGACGAGCAGGTCTTGGAAATTCCTGAAGTTTGTTGGCGATAACTTCTTGTCACAGGTACAGGGTGAGGCAACTAGAAAGACACCCTCCTAGATTTGCTGCCTGTGAGTAGAGAAGGACTTGTGGGGGATGTGATGGTAGGTTGACAGTGGTCAAGAAGTGGTTGAGAGAACTAAAAAGAGAAAAAAGGATGGCAGAGTTGCTACCCTGGACTTCAGGAGTGCAAACTTTAAGCTGTTTGGGGAGCTATTTAGTCGAATACCCTGGGAATCTGCTTTTGAGGGCTTAGGAGTCCATGAGTGGTCGTCAGTCTGTAAGAATCACCCTTTAGGAGCACAGGAGCAGGCAATTTCACTGTGTCACAAGTCAAGCAAGCGGAGCAGAAGACCGTCTTGGCTGAACAGGGAGCTCCTCATGGAGCTCAAGAGGAAGAAGGAACTGTATGATCTCTGGAAGCGAGGTCAGGCTTTGCCAGAGGAGTACAGAGCTGGAGTTCGTTTATGCAGGGAGAAGACACGAAAGGCCAAGGCTCAGTTAGATTTGAAGTTTTCCAGTGTTGTTTCAGGTAACAAACAGGCTTTTTAAAGTATGCTAATAACAAGAGGAGGTCTAAAGAAAACATCAGACCAATACTAGTTGAAGATGATCATCTGACTGACAGGGATGAGAAAAAAGCAGGAGTTCAGTGCAGGTTTTCTTCCTCAATCTTTAGTCATACTGATAGACTACGGGAAGCCTGGTCGTTTGAGTCAGAGGACCATGGGTGTGGGAACAGTGACTTTCCTTTTGTGGACGCTGCAACTGTGAGGGACCGACTGTATCAGCTGAATGTTCACAAGGCCATGGGGCCTGATGGGATTCATCCCAGAGTGCTGACGGAGATGGCGGATGTTATAGGAGGACCCCTCTCAAACATCTACCAAAGGTCTTGGGAGGTCTCTGCTGACTGGAAGCTAGTCAGCATTATTCCAGTTTACAAAGAGGGATTGATGGAAGACCCAGGGAACTACAGACCTTTTAGTCTAACCTCAGTGCCTGGGAAAATTATGGAGAATATAACAACGGGTACTAGTGAAAGGCGTTTAAAGAATAATGCAGTCATCAGGCACCCCCAGCATGGGTTCACAGCGGGCAAGTCCTGTTTAACTAATCCGATATCCTTCTGTGATAAGGTCACCTGCCTAGTGGATGAAGGGAAAGTGGTAAATGTAGTTTTTTCTAGGTTTTAGTAAGGCTTTTGTTACTGTCTCTCACAGCATCCTTCTGGACAAGCTGTCTGACTGTAGTATGAGTGAGTTCACGGTGTGCTGGGTGAAGAACGAGCAGAAGGGCAGAGCTCAAGGGGTTGTAGTGAATCTGGCTGGCAGCTGGTCACCAGCACTGTCCCTCAGGGCTCAGTTCCAGGGCCAGTTCTATTCAATGTATTTATCAGTCTGGATGGAGGAGTTGAATGCACCATGAGCAAGTTTGATGATGATACCAAACTGTTGACTCTTTTGAGGGACAGGAGGCCTTGCAGAGCGATTTAGATAGATTGGAGCAGTGGGCTATGATCAGTGGGATGAAATTTAACAAGTCCAAATGCCAGATTCTGCACCCAAGATTGTAGAATCTTTAGGCTGGAAAAGACCTTCAAGATCATCAGGTTCAACCGTTAACCGAACTCCAGTAATACCACCACTAAACCATGTCCTTCAGCACCTCATCCACATGTCTTCTAAATACCTCCAGGGATGCTGACTAATGCTGGGCACAAGTATAAACTGGGAGAGGAGTGGTTGGAGAGCAGCCCTGCAGAAGGGGATCAGGGGGTGCTGGTCAGCAGCAGGCCCAGCGTGAGCCAGCAGCGTGCCCTGGCAGCCAGGAGGGCAAACCCCACCCTGGGGGGCGTCCAGACCAGCCAAAAAAAACCAGCCGGTCACAGAGGAGATTGTCCCACTGCGTTCAGCCTTGGTGCGGCCTCACCTGGAGGGAGGACAGCAGAGCTGACGGGAGGGCTGAAGGCACGTCCTGTGAGGAGCGGCTGAGGGCTCTGGGTTTGCCTGGTTTGGAGGAGGCTGAGGGCCGACCTCACTGCTCCCTACAGCTTCCTGAGGAGGGGACGTGGGGCGGGAGGTGCTGATCTCTTCTCCCTGGGCTCCGGCGCCAGGACGCATGGGAAGGGTTCAGAGCTGCGCCTGGGGAGGGTTAGGCTGGGCATGAGGAAGCATTTCTGTGCCGAGAGGGTGGTCAGACACTGGAACAGGCTCCCTGGAGAGGTGGTGGATGCCCCAAGGCTGTCAGTGTTCAAGAGGCGCCTGGACAATGCTCCTAACAACATGCTTTAACTTGGTGAGCCCTGGATTGGTCAGGTGGTTGGACTAGACGGTGGTTGTAGGTCCCTTCCAACTGATACAGTCTGTTCTGTTCTAATACACCGTAAACCTTTGTCGTGATCTGGAAACCTAATAATTCTGCCAAACGTTTATTGTGTTAAACATGCCAGTAATAAAGCCACACACTAAAAGCCCAGAAGGCACATGCCCAACTCCCTTAGGATCTTGGCTGATCCCTTTTCTTCAGGCCACGCTTCCTGACTGATTCCTCTTTTCTTTTTTTTCTCATCCTCCTTCCTGCTGTTTTCTCCTATTAATGAGCTCTCCCACCTGCCTCGCTCCCCAAAACACTTCAGCACTTGACCATCTGTCACTGCTGCTGTGCATCCTTACCGTTCCAAGAGAAGGGATCGACCTTGAGCTGGAGCGTGTGATCTGGGATAAACAGCTTACCAACTGGCAAAAGGGACCAGTATGACGAATAACTCGCCTTACATGGCGCGCGTGAAATGGGGAGGCCGCTAGGTCTAAATGCTCAGCCCCTAAGCGCCGTTCCGAGAAAAAGGCGCCCAGTAGATCCGCAGCGGTTTGCGACGCGTCGCGTGGGTGCATGCGCATTCGCTGGCCCGTGGGATGCGTACCCCGCCCTAACGGCGCGTTTGTTTAGGAGTAGCCCGCGGTTACGAGCCGCGGCGTTACGTG